GAGATTGCTGTGCAGCCCTCTCTTCTTCATGCCGTCTTCTTTCTTCTCTTGGACGAGTTTTTTATTTTGTTGCAGAGCTTGATCAAGCTTTCCTTGGAGCTCCTGGTTCTTTTTGTCCATGTCATGGAGATCCTGTTGTTTCTCCTCAATAATAGCTTCCTTTTCTTGAAGCGCGTATGACAACTTTTTTAGTTGAGCGCTCTTTCGCTCATTTTCCTCCATCAAGAACTTAATCTTCTCTGTGTTTGTGAGCGCTTCATCCTCCATTTCTTCCAAACGTTTTTCCTCTAGTTCTACTTGGTCACACCAAGGAAGAGAGGAAAGGGAAGGGTCTAGTGGCTCATCCCAGGGAAGAGCGTAGGGGTCAACTTCTTGTCCCTTTGGATCTTTTGTTTGAGACATGTTGGGTCTGGATACAGTTACTATTGCAAAGGATCCAAATATTTCAAAAGGCTTTTCTGGCGAACGGTTCAATGCTGTGAACATCAATGCTGCGAGAAACGGACTAAAAGTCGTTGCTCTTCACGCCTATTTATGGGTTTTAAGGATCAAAGGATCAAAGGATCAGAATGGTGGTAAGATTCTACATGTGTGTGACGTCATAATTCTGTAAGACAATGAGGTTGTCACATGATATTTTTGGAGGAGGGCATTTTTCAACTTGGACAAATTATCAGTAAAGTTTCAATCTCTGTTATTTTCCCCAAAAAACGTGTTGTCGCAATAATGTTTTCTACTGTAATTGGTGCCAACAGATGGCGGCAGTTTAAAGTTGGCTGTTACTCTGCCCAGGCTTCTACCATAGAAGAAGAATGTAGACCAATAGTACTTTAAGGTTGGTCAGGTTCTTGACTGGTTGTCGTCATACCTAAAGGGTAAATGAGTAATTTTAGAGCTGCAGAATGAAACCAGGTGTTCCTCAAGGGTCAATTCTGGGTCCAGTACTCTTTACACATCCCAAACCAGTCAGGAAAAATGGATGCCCCTCCTTGATCCTGCTTCTGCTGGAGGTTTCTTCCTGTTAGAAGGGAGTTTTTCATTCTTACTGTTGCAAAGTGCTTGCTCATAGAGGGGTCATCTGATTGTTGTGGTTTTCTGTGTATTATTGTAGGTTCTTGACCTTATAATATAGAGCACCTTGAAGCAAATGCTTTTGTGATTTGGTGCCTCAAGGCACTTTCAAAAACTGTGAAATCATATAAAACAATATATCAATCAGGTTATGACTATTGCTCTATTTGCAGGATCACCCGAATCATCAGTGGGCCTTACACACACGCGCGCGCGCGCGCGCGCGCACACACACAGAGAAACTTTACCATATTTCTGCAATACTGAAGCCACTTCACAGGCTCTCAATGTAGAATTACCTTTAAAATACTTCTATTACTTCATAAAGCAGCTTTCAGTGGTTTGGCTCCCCTCGCAACATCTCTAATTTGATCATTGTCTATAACCTGATTAGACTTCTCATGCTATTGGGTGCAGAGCTTTTAACTGTTTCCAGAATCACATCCAGGTATGCCATGAGGGCTTTCAGTTACTGTGGTCCCATTCCTTGGAACAAGCTGCCTGACCTGAGGTCCATTACAACAGCTGTGTGTTTATGTGTGACTGTTAACGTTATTTTTTTGTAAAGTGGTTTTACTTTTATTATTTGGAATGCCTTAAGACATTGTAGTTTTTATCTTCTATGTTAAGCACATTGAGCTTTCATGTAATGAAATAGGTATATAATGAAATGTTTCAAGAAGAATTGCTGATTTACTAATTGCAGCAGATTACACTGCTGTTTGAAGCATGTGTGCAGTCAACCTCATTCATCCTGTGTGTTTCTGCTGTTAGTTTACATCAGTAGCAATAAAAAAAAGCACAATATCTTTTTGTGTTGTGGAGTGCTCTAAATACATGACATCAGCTAAACAAAAAGTAGAATAAAAATGAATAAACTATTAATATGCGAAAAATGTATATTTGATTTGCTCAAATGAAAATCAGCCAGTGTGTGCTGAACATCTCCTAGAACAGTCCAACCACGTCGATGTCCCCCTCAGATTTGTTCGCCTCGTTTCTGTTTGAAGACAGCTGCTGATTGGTGATGATGCTGGGCTGTGTGTGGCTCTCTAATGTGAATGAACCACTGAGGACTTTCTCAGTGCTGTTAGGCTGCTGCGCTGTTTCCCCGCTGAGGGAGGCTGGAACAATCTGGCCTGTCTGCGGGTGAATGCAGTGATGATCCCTCCCTTCTCCCATGGAGCTCCTTGGATTTGGACATATAGAGAAAAGCCATACATAAAGACACGGAAAGGTAATTATTAGAAAATGTGACAGTGAAATTAAAAGTCCAGTAGCTGCCAACTATGAGAATCTTTACATTCTGTTAAAGCACTAATATTACATTTATTGCCCAAAGAGCCCTGACCTGTCCAGAGCAATGATAACGGACCTGCTGGGTGTCCTGGGGTGTCTGGATGAGTAACACTAACTGCAGCTTGTTTGCGAGCAGCTTTTGCACACACTACCATTGTCTCTTACTAGGATGGTAAAAGTGGTGACTGGTTTGGGTGAGGGTGCTCGATCAGGTTGGGCTATGGGGAGTTGCTACATGTCAAAACTACATTTGTGCAAGGGATCAAACTTCATCTGTCTGTGCATCTTTTGTTGTGGCTGCTTGGTGTAACACTAATGTACAATATGTTGATTAAAAATAAATAAATTCCCTGACATAAGAACTCCTGACTGATATAAGACTTAATCAAGTCGAAACCCTATAGTGCTGAAAAATGAAGGCAAAAAAATGCATTTCCTTTAGTGGTAACTAGGGGTTGCTTCCAAAAGCAAGTTGATGGCCATAGACAGCCATGTTAAAATATCCAACTAAGCGACATTAAAAAGCATATTTACAGCCTCATAGAAAAACTGGCTTATGATCTAAGGATCGATTTGTGGAAACTTTTTGATAACTCAGGATACAGGAGTTAGAGGCATGGTCGCTTTGATTGACAGGCCTGCTGCCATGATTAATGATTTCCACTTGTCTCCGAGCTCTCAACTCAATAAACGGTGTCACTGAATTGGACTTCTCTGTGACGTTTATGCCGTTGGTGTACTGCCGCAAGATTAATGTGTTCGTGAGCTATGTAGTGCTTAAAAGTCTGAGTTTTCTGTGTCATGAAAGTGGCTCTCTCTTTACCTGGTTAAATCAATATGGTAACTCAGACTGGACACATAGGGGACAGGTAGTAGGTAGTAGGGATTATAGTACACTTTGTAGGAGCCAGCGGGTGCCAAAGATATGATGGGGACCGGGCACGTGGGCTGAGCTGAACACAGTGTTGTCTTTTCTTGTGGGAAAAAGGGGGAAAAACTAAACTGGTGCTGCCCCCAGTCCTGTCTAGCTTCCTGCACTGGGGTGAAATATTCTCTGTGCTTCCTCTTTCTGGGTTGATACTCGTAATCTGGCATGATGAAACAAAGACAAGTGTTAATGGAAAACAGATCCACTTTTACTCTGCAATAAATGTTTACTATCATGTAGTCTAGGGTTTTTGCTTCATACCAGGAAATTGGTGACTATGGATGTTTTTCAGTTGATGAGCCACTTGAAAGTAGGGCTCCTGCTGTTCCTTGCTAAGCTTGGACCACTCCAACCCGAGCTGAATGCTAATGTTTTTAATACTGCCTCTTGTCATGGTTTTCTGCAGGACCTTGCGGTGTATGTGAGCCCACACCATGAAAGCATTCAGTGGCCTTTTAATGTATCCAGTTGCGTCTCTGACAGTCTGCATTTGCTTTATGTCTGTGGGAGACATAAACGTTGTGTAACTATATTACTGGCAATTTTTGTTAATTTTCTTTTGAATTTTTTAGAAATATTTTTAGAATGTTTTTTTTAACCTTTAAACACACTCCCAATAGAGTAAAAGCATACCTGGATAGAAAAACACACAGTCAAACACTTTAATTGATGGATTGGCCTCCCTACACCCGCTTCGGATGTTCACTAGCACCCAGATGTCAGTATTATTGAAGCAGTGTAGGATCATTTGACAGAGAACTAAACAGGCAGCCAACATCCAAAGAGGGGCTTTGGATGTCCATCAAGATGCCTGAACTATTCCTAAAGACTACTTAAAGAAATTATATGAAAAGCTTGGCTATGAGAGTTCAGGCTGTGTTGCAGAATAAAGGTGGTCATACCAAATATTGACCTTTAAGCTCACTGAAATTGTACAAACTCAGTTTTTCCCTTATGTAGTTCCATGTATGTCGGCACATGTTTCAATAAATTGCTGCACCTAATTTCCATTTTTCTGGCAAAATATAATAAAAACGAGGGGTGACTAAAGACTTTTGCATCATACTGCAATAACATGCAGAAAGGCCAGGAGTTTGTGATTTTGATTTCATAAATGATTCCTGTTTTCATTTAAAAAGTTAAGATCTTGCAATTCTTCCATACATACTGTTACTTTTCACCTAGTATATCATAAATGAGGTTAATTCCTTGTTGGGTTGTTAATATAGATTCTACCTACCACTATACTTAAAGTGACATTTACATTAATGAATCAATAATTATGACCCAACAATATCATGGACATGGGTCTGTATAATAAATGGTTGTACTTTTACTTTAGATACTTCAAGTACATTCTGTTACTAAAACAGTTTGTATTATTACTTAGTACTTGTATTATTACTGTTTGTAGTATTACTAAGTAATACTGGCTCACAAGCCAGTATTACTTAGTAATACTTTTACTTAAAAGTTATAAATACTTGTTTCACTACTTTTTAAAACAGTTATTCATTTTTTTTTTATTCATAAGTAGACACGCAATACCCTGTGCTGGTCCATCACATTGAAAAAGTCCTGAAAACACTCCTGCATACACGTTTATTTAATACAAATACGATTTAGCAGGCTATGTTAACAGCTACTACTTATGATACCTTTCTCTGTTGGTTGGATGGTTAAACAGACAGCCGGAATATCATCTCCCTGTGTGGGCGAGGTTTGGGTGAAGTGGTCGGGTTCCTTCTTCAAATATCCACCAACTCCACAGCCCTGAAACATCCCATTGTGACCTGAAAAGGGACCATTCGTTCACCACCTTTTCTGACCTAGCCCCGTCATAATTTTGGATACTCATTTGGAGGTGGATACTTTCTCTCTTTCTCGTAACTTACTTGTTTCGACTGAGGCCAAACTGGTTTTGTTTCTGGGAGTAGTTGGCCCGCTGATCCCGCTCTGGTGACCCTCTTTTTTGACTGGACAATCCTGAAAGGTCTCTTGACCCGGGCTGACACTGAGCCACGGGTGTTTAAAACTACCTTCTTCAGCCTCTTCTTCCTCTTGTTTTATCTTTTTGGAGTTGGTTTCCATTGTGAGACTGTTGTAGCGATTATTTTGGAAGAGTCTCTGTGTGTCGTGCGTGTTTTAATTGAGTGTGACCGAATTCAAAACCGTTAGTTGCCAAACGCGGACGTTATGCAGCGCGAGATCTGAACGTTGAATGCTAATGTGTTTGTAAAATGGGTTTTAAGAGGTTTACAGAGAGAAAGATGATGCGATAATTAAAAATAGCTACTTTTACACCTTTCTGCAAGTTATAAGGTTAAAAAACTATTTCAAACATGTCTGGAAATGTACAGAACTATGAAAAAGTCTCGAGTCTCGAGGAACCGTTGATTCCTTTATTTATTTATGTCAGGAAAATTGAAAAACAGGTGTAACGAATTACTGCAACATGTGCTAACATGCATGGAAATACAGTTTTAAGGGGGAAAAACAGAGTTTGTACAATTTTAATGAGCTTCAAAGTGAATATTTGGACCAACCATCTTTATTCTTTGTTACAGACTGAACTCTCTTTTCCGAACTTCATGAAGGAAATTCAAAGCTCTTCTTTGGATGTTGACTGGCTTTTGTTCTGTTCTCTGTCCATGTGATCCCACACCGTTTCAGTAATGTTGAGGTCTGGGCTCTGGGGAGGCCAATTTATGACTGATATTGCTCCATTATGTTTTTTTCTATTCAGATATGCTTTTACTGCAGGGACAGTGTTTGAGATTATAGTCATGTTTAAAAAAATGTAGTTGTTGCCAATCAGATGCTTTACAGATTGTTAGGTGGACCAAAATCTGATGGTACATTTCTGTGTTCATAATTCCCTCAATTCCCTCCTGGCTTTCTCTGTACATATTGATGATTTGGACATCAAATTTCAAATTTTGATTCAACACACCATAAAACCTTTTCTTATAGCACTATGTAAGAACCAGTTCACTTACCACTGAAACCATTTCTGATGAGGCTTCAGTGAACAGTAGACAGATCAATGAAATCCATCTCTGTGGATATGGTTCTGTCTGAGGTTTTTACTGGATTTTATTAGGCACAACATTTCTTTGGTTCCCAACTTATCCTTTCCCTCAAATCTTAAGAACTCACTGTTTACCGTATGCCAAGTTGTTGGTTTTTAGCTCTTTGGGAATCACCTTGTTGGTGCAAAAAAACAAAAAAAAATGTCTGTCAAACTGTTATTGTCAGTATTTTTTGTCACTTGTTCTTTGCTAAGCTTTCTGCTATGCATAGACACACCACTGGTTCATCTCTTGAGTTAGTTGCCCTTTTATGCTTGAATGATTCATGGGGCAGTGTTCCAAAGTTGTAGAATGATCTGACCTTGCACGTTAGGCAGGCCTCTTCTCTTTCTGAGCTTAAAACTCCTCTTAAGACACATTTATCTGCTAAAGCCTTTGGCAGTCTTTTAAGGGGTTGACTCAATTTGACCTTAAAAAACAAACAAACAAAAAAAACCCCTCTGGTTTTATGTTAAAGTGCTTTATGAATAAAGATGGTATGGAAGTGTTCACTGGCTTAACAAAAACAAAACATAAAAAGCTCAAGAAACAACAAAACTACTGCCCAAGACTATAATTTTGGAAACAACTGAATTACAAAAATAGAAATCTCCTGTGGTCGGACCAAAGCCTGTTTGTGGGTCTGGCAGGCAGGTCAAGTTCACCAATGTCCCCCATAGATACCAAATCTAAACACCAAAAATACGTTTTTAAAAAGACAAAGAGAAACTAGCCTATAATAAGTACACAAAGAAGAAAACTCTCGATTCATGTTGTCATTTAATTTATTGTTGAATGAATTACAGAAAATATAGGGTACAATCAAATTAAATGAGCTGTACTGAGAAAAAAATAAAATAAAATCATGATTTCAGTTAACTAAATTACATCATCAGTAGCTCTCCCATATGAACATAAAATTACAACTAATAAAATATTAAACTAATAGCTATGGTGTTATCCTTTTAAGAGTAACAAAATAAAGATTTGGTCTTTTGGAGTGCAGTGCCTCAAAAACATGACAAGAGGTTCTGCTGAGCTGTGTCTGCACATCAAACAGAGAAAACTACACACACACGCACACACACCTCTCACACAAACTCCACTCAAGATCCCCAAACCTTCCATAACCATTTATGATAACTAAGCAGATGAAGTATCAAAAGGTGAGGCCAGATTTTTTCTTAGCAACCAAGAGACCCCCACCCCCAAGTGAAGTGTGAGTTGACAAAAATACTTTCTAAATAAATGTACCAGGCAGCGGTCTCAAAAAACTCAGCATTGTCTCACTCAAACAAAAATGTTGCAGATTGTGTTTTCAGTTTTGTAAATATTGGCCCCGCCCTTTCCTGCAATCAATACATATATGGTGTCCATACGTAAAGCAGAAGAGACCTAACAGAAATATGTAGAAAGAAATGACACAATCACAAGGAGGTTTAAGGGAAAATAGGAGTGGAAAATACTCCGAATAAAATACTGACAGCCTTTTAATGAGGCTTGTAGATGTCAGATGCACCTACAATAAAATATAAATACAGGGCAAGTGCCACTTTTAACAGTAACTGACTGTTATGAACTTTTAATTTCCTCCGAGTATTTTACAGTAGGTATATTAGTTTATGTTGTCTTTTGAAGGGCATGTTATTCACATACTGAGCATCCATTATAGAGAAAAGCTACAAGCCTGATAAAAAGAGAAAAACATGAAAGCAATTAATCCATGCTCATATGGCTCAAGAATAAGTATAAGCATCAAGTGGTACCTCAACATGTACAGGTTTCTACCCTTTGATGGACCAGATTAAGAATTGTCTACACTCCAGAGGTACAAGTGCCTCTCTTCTGCAGACGAGTGCAGGTACTGCTGCACAAAAAAAAAAAATAAAATAAAAAGACTGCTGCAGCTGTCAAAAAAAACTTCTGTTACATAACACTGTAATATTCGCTTCT